GCAATCTCTTTCCAATTGGAAAAAGATTCAGCCTAGACAGTAAAGTTGGAGTGTGTCTGGGCGAGCTGTATAACAAATCTCCAAATGATCCTCTGCTATCCCCTATTACTATTCCAATTACTCTTCACTTCCAAAACTCCTCACTACCAGTCCATGCAATGATCGACTCAGGAGCAACCATCTCATTCATTCATCAAAATCTAGCACAACAGCACAATCTTCCACTAGCACAACACTTATTACAAATCTCTCTTGCCAATGGTTCAACACATACCTCTCATCACGCCACCACATTGGTTATGCAATCCCACTCACAACACTTTTCCACACACACTTTTCAACTCATTGCACTTGGCAATTATGCCATTATTCTTGGCATGGACTGGCTCCGCTCACACAACCCATATATCGACTGGGAGAAACGAACCATTACTATGCCATGCCTCCATCAGCACACACTCGACAAGCTTTCCCCCCTTGCACAATCAACAATGCCTCGATCCATCCCTTCCTTCCAGGAACAAGACCGAATCCTTCTGCCACCTTCCAAACCCAAATCCACTTTGGTTCCCACCAAGTACACCTCAGGATCCAACCAACTATCCAAATCCGCCAAGAACCGATCAGCAACCAACATCTCCATTATTAGCAATACACAACTCCGTCAGATCCTCAAGACCAATCAAGGAGTCGGATACATGCTCGACATCTCCCGAATCGAAGAACTCGCCAGCGCAACCACCAACGACAACTCTATCCCTGAATCAAAACCCACAGTCCAACTGCCCGAGAAATATGCCGAATATGCTCAGGTATTCTCCAAGATGCAAGCCGACAAGCTACCGCCACATCGACCCTATGATCACAATATCCCTGTGGTCGAAGGAGCCACCGTGCCATTTGGACCAGTGTACAACCTATCACAAACGGAACTGCAAGTTCTACGCGAATATATTCAAGAAAACCTTGCAAAAGGGTTCATCCGTCGATCCGAGTCTCCAGCTGGCGCCCCCGTCCTTTTTGTTAAAAAGAAAGACGGTTCTCTCCGCCTCTGTGTCGACTATCGAGGCCTCAACAAGGTGACTGTCCCCAATCGATGCCCTCTGCCACTGATCTCCGAAACTTTCGACCGACTAGGCAAAGCCAAGTATTTCACCAAGCTCGACATGCGAGGAGCATACAATCTTCTCCGCATCAAGGAGGGCGACGAATGGAAGACTGCATTCCGCTGCCGCTATGGCCACTTTGAGTATACAGTCATGCCCTTCGGACTAATGAACGCTCCCGGAACTTTCCAAGCTTTCGCCAACGACGTCCTCCGCGATTACCTAGATGACTTTGTCGTGCTATACATTGACGACATTCTCATCTACTCCGACACCCTTGAGGAACATACCGCGCATGTCCGCAAAGTTCTCAGCAAGCTCCAAGACGCTGGTCTATGCTTAAAACTCGAGAAATGCTCGTTCGACAAGGAAAAAGTCGAATTCCTCGGCTTTGTGATCGGAACTGACGGTATTTCTATGGACCCCGCCAAGGTTGCCGCCATTCGCGATTGGCCCACTCCCTCTTCCGTTTCGGATGTCCAGTGCTTTCTGGGTTTCTCCAACTTCTACCGTCGTTTTGTACGGAAATACTCCCATATCGCCGCGCCTCTCACCGCGTTACTCAAGAAAAATACTAACTTTGTCTGGACCGCTATCGCACAAGCCGCTTTCACGGAGCTCAAGTCACGCTTCATGTCTGGCCCCGTCCTTCGGCATTTCCAACCAGATCGCCCCTGCATCATTGAAACTGACGCTTCTGACAAGGCCCTCGGCGCTGTCTGCAGTCAGCGTGACCAAGATGGACGCCTACATCCTATCGCTTACTACTCCCGAAAACTATTGCCTGCTGAACTCAACTATCAGATCTACGACAAAGAACTCCTTGCCATTGTGTCTGCCTTTAAACATTGGCGACACTACCTGGAATTCTCGCCCGCTACCACGGAAGTCATCACCGACCACAGAAATCTTGAGTACTTTACCACCACGCGCCAATTGAGCCGCCGTCAAGTCCGCTGGTCTGAAATCTTGTCTGACTACAACTTTACCATCCATTACCGCCCTGGCTCCCAGAATGCCGCTGCCGATGCTTTGTCCCGGCGGGACAACCCTGGAGAGGGAGGTGCGGCCCAGCACGGCAAGACCGAGATGACCCTCCTACCGCCGATCCAGATTCTGAACACCATCCAGGCCCGGTCACTGCAACCAGAGACGCCAGCGATCCAGGAAAAAATCAAGACACTAATCCCCGATGATCTATACTTTGGTCCAATACTCGCCAAGACCGCAAAGTCGAACTCGGACAATGCCCAGTACTCAATTCAAGATGGGCTACTCCTGCGGGATGGCCTTGTCTGCGTCCCCGACGATCCCGAACTCAAGAAACAAATCCTTCAAGAATGTCACGACGCCCCAACCGCCGGTCATTTTGGAATTACCAAGACCTCAGACCTTGTCAGTCGAACCTTTTACTGGCCTTCCATGTGGCGTTACATCAAGGATTACATCAACGGTTGTGACACCTGCCAACGGACAAAGTCATCCACTCACAAGCCTTATGGACTTTTACAACCCCTGCCTGTACCCGATCGCCCCTGGACCTCAGTATCGATGGATTTCATCACCCAACTCCCCCCCTCAAACGGCTATACGGCAATCTGTGTTTTTGTGGACCGATTCACCAAGATGGCACACTTTGTCCCCACCTACGACAACATCAATGCACAGGATACGGTCTGTTTGTTCCTAGAACGCGTATTTTCAGCCCACGGTCTCCCGGATGACATTGTTTCTGACAGAGGCGCCACCTTCACTTCAGCCTTCGTTTCCACCATGTTCAAGTCTCTGGGGATCAATCAGAAGCTTTCTACCGCCTACCACCAACGCACCGATGGACAGACCGAGAGAGTAAATTCAATACTGGAACAGTACCTACGAGGGTATATCGACTATCAGCAAACGGACTGGAGCACCCTTCTACCGATAGCAGAATTTGCATACAACAACGCAACACACTCAACAACAAAAACAACACCATTCTTTGCCAACCTCGGCTACCATCCGAAATTCACCATCACCATCCCAAGAGTCTCGAAGGACAATGTCCCAGCCCAGGAACGCGTCCAGGCCCTAAAGAACCTCTATGCGGAGATGCAACTCAATATCCACACCGCCATTGAACAGCATGCCAGGAACTTCGACACCAAGGCCCAACCACAACCCAATCTGCAAGTAGGAGATCTTGTATGGCTAGACGCCCGGAACCTCCAAACGAACAGACCATGCAAGAAGCTCGACCATAAGCGCATGGGCCCTTACCGTATTCTCGAAAAAATCGGCACTCGATCCTTCCGTCTCGATTTACCACCAACGACCAAGCTACATCCTGTCTTTCATGTAAACTTACTTGAGCGTGCGCATCCAGATACGATCCCCGGTCGAGCCTCAAAACGACCTCCTCCGCTTGTCGTCTCCGGCGATGAGGAGTACGAGGTTGAGGCCATTTTGGATTCACGGATCAGGCGCAACCACCTTGAATACTATATACATTGGAGAGGCTACCCCGTATCCGAACGAACCTGGGAACCGGCCGCCTGTGTCAAGAATTCCCCGGACCTTGTTCGCGAGTTCCATCTGCAACACCCTCACAAACCCAGCCAAAGGCCTCTTGGAACTCGGCCCTAGAGGGGGAGGTTGTCACGAGACAAGAGCTTGCTCTTGTGACTTCGCCCTAACGAGTATAAAAGGGCCTTAGATAGCAAATCTATAGCTCTTTACTTGGTATCGCCAATACAACATACTCTTTAACCTATTCCTTATACTCATTTCTTAGTCCTTGATCAAGGTTCTCTTTATCTACTTCATTCTATTGCTTGGTCTGCTTTCTTGACATGGTCCCCCATCGCCGCACGGAATGTCAGTCGAATGGAGTTGGTCGTCTGCCTTTCCATCCTCTTTGCGAGAGGTCCTTGGTCCCACCCACAAGGAGATACGCTACGGATTTGACGGATTCAAGACCCGGCCCCCCTGTCCAGGTCGGTGCGAGGGTTGACTTCCCTTGCGAAGCACGGAAGTGCATGGATGGATCTTTGCTCATGAGGTGCCATGTTGGAACTACTTGGTGATATGAGTATTCGCGCAGTCTCTATGAGTTCTGCCTTAAGCGTCTTAGAGCACCGCTGTCAGTCCCTCACAGTATAAAAAGAACCCCAGGCCTGGATGGCTAACGTTCCAACCTTTCTGCCTTGAAGGTGTGTGGGAAACGAGGAGCGAAACTTTTGTTTTTTTCCCACACAAGTGCGCAAGCACAATGGCAACCCCCCCTCTTTTCGCGCTAGTCTCCCCTGTCCAGGAGGCGCGTGACAACCATTTTTATTTTTTTGGGTTGTTGCGTTGCACACATGTGCATGGATGGAGGTGACGTCGAACACTTGAAAAACGGCACTGGGAAGAAAGTACTTTTGCTATCTCCTGGTTGTTCAGATGAAGGTGTTTTAGTTGAGAGTAATAACTGGATAGATCGCTTTTGTATTTTCTTCCGTTTTTGTCGTGAAGAGCGACAACGATTGTTGCGCAGAGCCAGCGTTATTAGAACCGGACTGTGACTAGGGGATGGTGTACTGGGAAGGGGTCCTCACAAATAGCCCTTTTATTTTTGGATTACCTACATGAATTGTTCTTTAGAGAAATAAAATCGTGGACAAAAAAAAAAAAAAAAAAAAAAAAAACTTAAAGAGAGAAATACAATATAGGCCAGTACCCATACACTGGTGGCCCCCTTCGGATGCAGATCATGTACGAGGATTTTCCTCCATCGGTGGAGCTCGAGCCGTGCACAGCGGTAGTCCAGCTCTCGATCGAGACGAGAAACCGATGTGGAATGTGTCGGATCTCCTCCGCGGCATCACCCCCTTGAGCATGTTGACTGAATGGTCCGCGGTCTTCCGGACCCCAATGTCCATCGCCAAGACAGTCCTTCACAAGTTTGTTGGCTACCTGGAGGCGCAGGCCTCGGAGCTGATCTGGAAACCTCGGTGCTCCGCGACAATCGCATGGGAACAAAGCCAGGGCATCTCTGCCAAGGATAAGACATCCAAATATACAGGCCCCCGAGGTGATTGGAGTCAAGGATACGGTTACATCACGCACGATGGTTTCTGTCCGTGTGGCGCTTCGCTAGCCACACATTGTGAAGGAAGGTGCCCTGGGGCGACCAAGGACCCACGCGCTGCTGACGAGCGGTTGTCGGAGAGTTTGTTAGGAAGGAGGAGGTTGTCAATGATGGAGAGGATGGGAAGAATCCCCTTCATTCGTATCTAGTTTTATTTTCTTCCGTTTAAGCTGTGAAGAGCAGCGACAATTGTTGCGCAGAGCCAGGTTCTGGACCGGACTGCGACTGGCGGATGGTGCACTGAAGAGTTTGGTCTGTAGTCCCCTTTTACTTCCAAATAACTTCTCTATGCTGTTTGTCAGAGAAATAAAATTGTGTACGAAAAAAAAAAAAAAAGAGAAATACAATCGAGTGTCAAAAAAAGTGCACTTAAAGAATCTGGTTTGTTGGCTACCTGTAGGCGCAGGCCTCGGAGCTGATCTGGAAACCTCGGTGCTCCGCGACGATCGCGTGGGAGCAGACCCAGGGTATCTCTGCCAAGGACAAGACATCCAAGTACACATGCCCCGAAGTGACTGGAGTCAAGGATACGGTTACATCACGCATGATGGTTTCTGCCCGTGTGGCGCTTCGCTAGCCACACATGATGAAGGAAGGTGCCCAGGAGCGACCAAGGACCCACACGCTGCTGACGAGCGGTTGTTGGAGAGTTTGTTAGGAAGGAGCAGGCTGCCAATGATGGAGAGGATGGGAAGAATCCCCTTCATTCGTATCTAGTTTTATTTTCTTCCGTTTAAACTGTGAAGAGCAGCGACAATTGTTGCGCAGAGCCAGATTCTGGACCGGACTGCGACTGGTGGATGGTGCACTGAAGAGTTTGGTGTGTAGTCCTCTTTTACTTCCAAATTACTTCTCTATGCTGTTTGTTAGAGAAATAAAATTGTGCACCAAAAAAAAAAAATTAAAGAATGTCATGACATCTGAATAAAAAACTCCTTGGTGCCTGAACCTCCATCAATAACGCTGCTCCACCTTGAGACGTTCACGGATACCGTTCCGGTTGCTTTCATTTCTTTTTCTTCTACCGATTCGATTAGGCCGGAGGCTAAGGTCGTCTAGAGTAGTTTTTTTGGACTTGTGCCCTTTCGGACCTTCATTCCTCTCCTTCGCTCTCCACATAAAATAATACGTCTAGACCGTCTGAGAAGCATCGTTTAGATCCCATTCCGGTGTCTTGTTCTTCTTCAGCCTTATCACTGATCGTGGTGAATATCAGCTCAATCTAAGTGAAGAAATATAGGTGGTATGTAAAAGTAGAAAGCGTGCCTATCACTACGGTCCCATCCTAGTGTGAGAGAGAAAGAACGTAGAGGTGTGAGAGCGAGGGTATGGTCGCAATTTTTTATGTTGAGAGCGCCTAAGACGATATGAAAAATAGTTCATCTTTCAACAAATGCTGCGATCTATTCTTGTCATGTCGTTCTGCACGGATTCACTTTTTTGAGGAGAGGAAGGAGAAGAGAGACAAGGGTAGTAATGGGAAAGATCACTCCTGCATCTTGCACTCGCACGCGCTTGAAATTGTCCGATACCACTCTTTCTGCTTTAACGAAACACACATAATGATATGAAGAAGAAAGTACCCGCTCAACATCACTGTTCTACGTGCATAAAAACGATTGTACTGGTACCCCGAGTTATACTCGTTAATAGATATACATATCTCTCCGTTTACGCTCTTGCTCATCTCCAAACTCTTTTATTTATTGTTCATCTGACAAGGTTTTTTTCGTACACAATTTTATTCATCTGACAAGGTGCATGAATGACCAACAAAAAACCGCACCGCCTTTGAAGCTGTTGTCGCCTTATTTTCGAGGGGGGTGATATTTTGTTTTTCTCTTACAACGGCAGGGTCCTCCCTCTTTTTGTTGCATTTGTGCTCAGTTAAAAGAGCGGTAAAAGGACTCTACCCTCGATCTTGTCAAGGCGGCAAAGAAAAAAGGTTCAAGTGTTATTAGGGCTAACGCGCTAGCACTAATATTCCTTTTTTTTATTTTCAGCAACGAAAGTGGATGACAAAGAGCAAAAAATAACCTGAACATCTCTCCCTTTCTCTTACTCATTCCAGCTCCCACAATCGTGAGGTTTGGTTCGAGCAGGTGCTCGCTAACTACTCTCATTTCGCTACTAGTCTACTCAACATGTTCGCCTTGAAAATCAACAACAGGAAATATGAAAAAAGCATGCCGCCTGCTCAGAGGATACCTATAGCGCACTAGGGGACACAGAGAAAGTGAAAAAAGGGGTGGGGGAGTGTGCTTCAGGCACATGTGCCATTACGCTGACACTGCTTCAGTGAGCAGTTTTTATTTTTTTGTGCCGCTGCAGGAGTGATGTTCGCTTCTTCTTCTCAAGCATACGCACAAGCACAAGCGCTAAGGAGAACAAGACAGGATAGCGAAAGCCAGCTTGTGGAGGTGACAAGACGGAAAGTTGAGGTACCTTTTGTAGAGATGGTTTGATCGACCCTTTTTTTTATATCGTTTCCCTCCCGCTGAACGTAAAATGGATCGCCTCTCTATCCAAATTACATGTGCCCCAACTGGGTTATGGATGCGAAAAAAGGTGAGCGGAGAGCAAAGCTTAAGCCCTTGTGTGGGAGAAGAAAGAAGACTAAAGCAGACAGGGTACCTTCGGCATGCATGTAAAATAGCAACCCGTTTATTACTGTTTGCTTTTTTTTCGCCCTTTTGGTAGTGAAAAGAAAGGGGTTGATGGGGTTCAAGGAGTAGCAGGGAGGAGGAAAAAAAGTGCTCACATCCACTTTTCAATAGCTGCCATCAATCCAACCTCACTAGCACTAAAAAGGACCGGTACCCTCTCGCTCTCTCTCTCTCTCACTCCCTCTCTCCCCGTCTACCCATTCCTGGTTTGCACGAGAAAAAAAAGTGTCCGGGAGAGAGCCGCATATGTTGACACACTGGTATTGTAGACATATGCTGGTCAGGGAATGTGGCTATCAATCCCCGAAAGTATCTCTCTTTTGACGCAACCACCAAGTATGTGTAAACTACAATATGTAATGGAGGTCATGGTCCCTGATGTTTTATCGTTAGAAGGAGATGACAGGACGGGTTCGTTCACTAGCACATAACCTTTTTTCTCATTAGCAACAACCCGCATCAACTTGACCCTCGCCTTCACTCTCTTTCACTCTCTTTCACTCTCAAATCGCATACTAGTCTCGTACCTTTCTCTCACACACCTCTCTCTCACACGGGCATGTTGTTGCAGCCATTCTAAACGTCGTCTGTCGATGAGTTCCGCTCTTTTTCCAATTGCTCCTCGTCCTCTTTCTTCTCTTCTCTTTCATTCTTCTTTCTTCCATTTTTCCTCTCCTCTCTTCTCTTTCCTTTTTCTCTTCTTCCTTTCTTGTTTTTCTTTTCTTGCTTTTCTTTCGCATCATCTTTTTTTTTTTCGCTCTTGCTCCTCTGGCCAGCCTGTTGTCCCTATCCCTGTATACATACACCAACACATACAAACACTACACGATACATTACGCCGTCTTTGAATATTTTTTTGCTGCTTTGTCACTAATTTTCCTCTTTCCACCACTGCATTTAAAAAAGCCCTTTCCTCACTTCCACCTTCTTGTATCACAAATACAAAAATCAACAACCCAGGTTGTTCTTGTACACAGTTCCTAAACAACAGCCACCCACCTCCCCTTTTTTTCCCCGTTCCAACACGGTTGTGTGCACACACAGAAACAAGCTCGCCCTCCTATTTTTCTTCAACTTTCTTGTTTGATTTTTTCTTCTCATTTCTGTATTGCCTCGAGCCAAGACGATTGCACATGCATGCGGACTACTTGTTCCTGTTAAACTAAACCACAACAGCATTTTCATTTCAAAGGTCTGTGTGCACATCTTTTCCCATTTCACATTTATCATCCGCCTACCCTCCATACCTTCAATCCTTCCTTGTCTTTACTGAACCACCTCTCCTTTCTTTTCTTCATTGTCCTTTTCTCCCATACTCACAGCTTCTTTGTCCATCATTTGTGGACCACAAACTGTCAGTGCTGCCCTCCTTCTCTCCCCGTCCCTCCCTGTCCCCTCCTTCCTTCCCTTCTCCACTTGACAATTCACATGAGCGGATCGACAATCGCCTCCACCATCGCCGCAACCGTCACCTCGGCCGTCTTGGCAGCCACCGACTCCATCCTCCCCACTCCCACAGCCTCACCTTTTGACCCAGCACCAACATTCTCGCCTTCAATTGGTGGCAACAATACGGACACGACTCAGCCCCTGTTATGCGATTGGATCAGGACGGCAGCCCGCTGTCGAGATGCTGACTTTACAAGGACTCTGTTGATCGCCTCTTCTGTCATGCATGGACTCGTCTTTTTCTTTGGTCTCTGGTTGCTCGCATACCGCCACCGAGGCATCAATACCAAGATTGTCACAGAGCTCTATGTCACCGTCGGGACAGGCGTACGACCAAAACCTGTAAGTCTCTTTGACGCTATCTCTCTCACACAGGCTTCATCCTCACTTTCACCGTTCATCGACTGTTAAGAACCAAAGGAGCAATTGAAGCGAAGCTAACACATGAAAAAACTGTCTTGTTCAGATGGATTGCATTACATTTTTCATGGCACTAGCATCGTTCCTCAAGATTGGTGTGAACCTCTGCCTCATCTTGGATGCCTTCCCTGACAAGCTGTGGCTCCGTATTATCTTTGAGCAGACGTATTGGTAAGAACGCTGAGATCCTCCTGTCATTCAAATTTCCCATGGATGTCAACGCTTGTTGCGAAGAAAAAGAGAGTGAATGGTGAAAGAAGAAATGTACTCGGACCCATGTAAAAAATACCTCAGTTGTATTTTCCTTCACATCGACATTGGCACTAACATTTCATTTGATTGTTTGTATATGTTCATTCCTATTGTCGATTAGGGTGTTTGTGGCGATCGGGTTTTCGTCGTACTTTGTCGGCCTTCTCTACGCGATGCCTGTCACCACCAAAGAGGGCATCTTTGCTGTCTACCAGCCCGAAGTCGTCTTTGGTGAACAACCCCTTTCTCCGATCCACGTCTTGACCCCGACGACCGTCCATAAGAACGTCTTCCTCGTGATGGGCGCAGTCTATCCTATCATCTTTGGTGCAGGTGTCGGTGTTGCTTCTGCATTAACCTCGCAGATGGCTGGATATGAGCAAGTATCTCGCATCCTATTGCTTATCCAATACTCCAACTGGGTCTTCATGCTCTGGCTCATGGCCATCATGTTCTTCTACTATGGTCTCAAGTACACTTTCATCCTGCGAGCCAACATCATCCTCGCCGAGGCCGCGTTGAAGGCACCCCGAGCAGCCTTTGGAATCGGCAACCTCCGCTCTGCTAGTCCTGCGCGATTCCTCTTTATCCAGCTCCAGATTACCGGCTTTGGTGGGTCGGCAGTGACACTGCTCGCTGGCACTCTCTGCATGATTTGGGTCTTGTACCGAGATGAGATCCTGTCTATGACCAATGTCATCTGGCCCCGTACCATGGCTTTCTTTTGGACATGTGCAATTGCCGTGGCCTACTTTGTCATAATGGCCCTCATAGCTGTTCAAAGTGTCCGCAACCGTCGTCGCGGTCTCCATGAGCCCATCACATCTGTCACCAATTCGTACATGCCCGGTCAAAAGACCTCTTCTGGCAACAACTCCAAAGGTCTGTATTCTCAGCCCCATAAGGCACGGTCTGTCCAATCCGAATCGGAGGCTCGGCTTGCCCAGCGCAACTCTGGCGACTTCAGCACACTGCACTCTGCCTACTCGGTCGAAAAGGACGGTGACGGTAATGCTTCTCTCGAATACGAGACTGTGTATGAGGATGCAAGAGCGATCGCGGCCATGGTCGAGACCCCTCAACCTCCTTCCAATCAATCGGAGCAAGACAGGGCCAACAAGAAGCTATCGGTGGGGTCACCCAGTCGCCCTTTCACGATCATGACCCATCGGACCGGAGATGCCCAGAACTATGGTCGCCGAGAGAGCGATGCGCAATCAAGCTTGTCCGGCCACAATGGTTCCTCCGCCAAGGTGGCCCCCGATCTGAGAAACACTGTCTTTGGTGCTCAGCCTCGTCGACCTAGCAGCCCACCTCCATCGGCATCGTCCTATCCACTCATCAATATCCGATCCTCGTCCTCGACTCACAAGAGCAAGGGCAGCAGTAGTCGATCACACGGGTCTTCATCCCACACTACCAGCCAGACTTCGAGTGAGGCATCCTCTGCAACCAAGCGGTCTCTGGATATCATGAAGTTCTCGCCTCACGCTCTCACTCCTCTCCCCGATGTCCCCACTTATTCTCACCCTCACAGCCAACAACACCAACAAAAGCAACAACAAAGGCAACAACAGAGACAACAACAACAACCACAGCAGCAGCAGCAGCAACCACTCTATGAGCAGCAAGAGCCCTATCAGACCCTGCAGTACAAGGTCTCACAAAAGGGTCTCTCACCCCCACCCAGGGCCAAGCGTCTGGCCAATGGACCCAATCCTGGTTCCGAGCCATCATCACCATCATCACCAGTGTCACCCCCGGCACGAGACACATTCATGATGAATGGATTGACGACGACGCCGGACGGATATTCAGATACACCTCGGATCGGAGGTGGAGTTCGACGAAAGTCCTTGAAGGGGATTGAGGAGGACGAGAGGGGAGGCGATACCTCCTGGCCATTACCACCAAGGCTCAGCTAGTCTTCTTTCCCTTTTCTATTATCCATTCGCTGTATTATACATACCATTCCTTTACTATTAAAAACAACTAATAACGACCTCCATACATTTTTTTTCACCCATTGTCTTTGAAGCGTACTTCGCGCACGAACCCGGTTGGGAGGAACACCAAACGGGGGTCAAGACCGATCGATCGAAAAAATCATTGGCCGCTGTTGTTCATGTGGGGAGTAAGTGGAGCAAAACTCTCTTTGTTGTCCGTGGAGAATAAAGGCGTTGCTTCTCTTCTTTCTTGTCTACATTACTCTTCTCCTCTCTCATTCTCCTTTTCCCTCACGCGCTCTCTCATTCGCACCGAGGACAATACCAACCACCGCCACGAACACGGACTACCAGTAAACGACACAAGCTAGCAACCATGAAGGCGATTCTCATTGAAAAGGCATTGAATTCTGTTGACCAGATGACCGTCCACACCGTACCCGACCCCGTCCCCGAGAAGGGCGAGATTCTTGTTGACTGCAAGGCCGCCGGTCTCAACTTTTTCGACATTCTCCAGGTATTACTCTCACACTAACTCTCATTCTCCTCCACTGTGATTCAGTTGCATGTCGTTTGTCTGACCCTGTAGCTGTTGCGCTCGATGTTTTTTTTCCCCAGGCAGACTTCATGACGCGGGAGGCGCTTGCAGCTCAATTGAAGGCCGATTGGTTAACGAACGTACCTTTTGTTTTCTTGTTCACGACTAGGTCCAGGAGAAGTACCAGATTAAGCCTCCATACCCATACATCCCCGGTGCAGAGGTAACGTATCGCTCGCTGTGCGTGCTTGTTTATGCTCGTTGCGCAATTATTTTACCCGAACCGATAACATTGAGCCCTGTGGACCAAATTCAAGCACACGCATGTCCATCCCCACACACAACTAACAACCCATTTCTCGTCCCACTTTGCATACAAATAGTTCGCAGGGGTTATTACACAGATCCACCCCGAGACCAAGACCTCTTTCAAGATTGGCGATCGCGTCTTTGGCTCGACTCAGGGCTGCTACGCCGAAAAGCTCACCGTCGCTGCCAAGAACCTCCTTCCCATCCCCAACAACATCTCGTTCGAGCAAGCTGCAGGTCTCTTCATCACCTACCCCACCTCCTATGTCGCCCTCGCTATCCGTGCCCAGCTCAAGAAAGGTGAATGGTGCCTTATTCACGCTGCCGCCGGAGGAGTCGGTCTGTCTGCTGTCCAGATCGCCAAGGCTCTCGGCGCCAAGGTCATTGCCACTGCAGGATCTCAAGAGAAGCTTGACGTTGCCCTCAAGAACGGCGCTGATTTCGCAGTCAACTACCGGGACAAGGATTGGGCCGCCCAGGTCCTTAAGATTACTGGAGGCAAGGGCGCAGATGTGATTTATGACCCTGTCGGATTGATCAACGAGTCCCTCCGCTGTGCTGCCTGGTGCGCCCGTGTGCTCGTCGTCGGTTTCGCTGCTGGTACCATTGAGAAGATTCCTGCCAACCGAATCCTGTTGAAGAACATTTCTGTGGTCGGCGTCCATTGGGGTGCCTACGGCAAGCACGACGTGGCAACCATTGCCCAGGTCTGGACAGAGTTGTTGGATCTATTTGCAAAGGAGAAGTTGGTTCCTGTTGTCTATGACAAGATCTACCAGGGCCTGGATTCAGTCAAGACTGGATTGAATGACTTGGCTTCCAGGAAGACGTTCGGGAAGGCCATTGTCGCCATCAACGCCGTCGCTCCTTCCCCCAGCAAACTGTGAAAAGAGTACCTGTAATTGATTCCCAAAATAAACGAAGATTATAAAAATCACACGAGGATCGAATTCTATCCATTATATTTTTCCGTGATGGACGCGATGAACGCGACAGTTTATTTGTTCTCCTCATCTAAACACGAATCTTTGTTTATAGCCCCACTTTCTCTTCTACACTCATGTACCCACCTTTTCTCAACCCGTTTTAGTAGTCAATAATGGTATGTCTCTTCCTTCTCTACTTCCGTCCTCTACAACCCACCTCTTTCTCCCTTACCGTCACTCACAGCCTCAATCACAGTGCAAAAGAAACAATCTAAAAATATTCATTGTTGGATACAAACGCGTCCTTGGTAAGAACCGATCTTTTAAATGATTATAAAGCTATGAAGAGAAGAACGAGAAAAACAGTAACGCACACAATAAGGAGGATCCGGACTCATTGCTGGCAGACCTAACGGAGAGGATCTCGGGGGCCATATCACAGGCAACTTGAAGATCGATATCGTCGCCATGTTTGGAGCACCTCGCGATCCTGTTTCCATTCCTTCATCCGCATCTCCCACCGCGTCCTGTATAGATGGATTTGGCGCTCTTTCTGACCATCCTCCAGTCCCTCCCCTCGCATGTCTTTCTAGCCCGCTGCGATAGGTCTCGATCGACTGTCATCCTGGCGCTTTCTTTTCCGAACACAGGACCAACGATGGCTTTCTGGGACAATGGCCATGAGGTTCTCAGGTTTAAGGTCGTAGTGGGCAATGGCCAACCCATGGAGGTGACAAACACTTTCAACGATCTACCTTCAGAATGGGGCGGGCTTTATGGCCTTTCATCGTACGCTAGTGGATCAACTCTTTCATTGTCTATTTTTTTTAATCCAGTGGTAACGAGCGAGTAACATGTTTAGCATTGAGTAGTTGTTGCATTGTATCATTGCATGCGATCCTAACTTGACTTCCATTTACCTTTCGGTATGAAGTTCCATCAACAGACATGTTGATTCTGCGACTCGAAACTTCGAATCAAGGAGATAGAAGAGGTACATTAGTGGGCTATTCTTACCCAATTACATTCTCTTCCGAATACCTTGCCTTTACGGAATGTCTTGAGGGCGTACATTTCCCAGGTTGTGCAAGACCGCGTACTTGCGACCCCCCTTCGCTTTATCAAAAAGACCAGTCGATGATCAACGTCCTTGAAGGTTCCCCCTCATGGCGGTCTTGGTAGTTACCTCGTGACGGACACTCGATGACGGACGATGTGGCGAGCTCGTCGGGTTCCTTGATGGCGAACTCATTTGATGGCGTTAGACGCGGTTTGATACTTCCAAGGAAGCTAATTGTTTGAAAAGGTTACGTGTCAAGTTTATTGAATTGTGCTTATGATGTTCATGAAATGAAAACGGAAGGATGCCGGTAATCATCTTGACAAAACAAAATGTTTTGTCCAGCAGCCTCACCTGCCCCGCCCTGAAATTGTAGGGATCGCAGAAGGTCTTTAGGCAGCAAAAATAGTTAGTATAATTGAATCGCCATTCCTCCAAAAAAAAAAAAAAAAAAAAAAAAAAATATGCCCAATTCGACGAGGTTGCCTGCGAATAAAAGTTCGGTCTTGCTGCAAAAATGCGTGGCACTTTTCTTCTTGCACTGTCGGTGCGGGTACCTCCTGAGAGATGGGAAGAGGTCGCAAGAGAGGCTAAGAAGGGGCCGCTGTTGCGGTTGATAGTCTTGTGGTAATCCGCCCAGGTGGAAGCGCCTGGAGCTTAATGAGTTACTTGGGCTCAAAAGTCGCGGCGTGGTTGGCACAAGAGGACGTAACAGCGGCGTCTTCTACAGTGTGTTGCCGCTTTCCCTGGGTTGTTGCAACTGTTGCTGTTAGTCGACTTTTGACGCTGCTGTTTGGGGTGACAGGGAGAGGATGATGGCGTTGTTGACCAAGTATGGTGGAAGAGGTGGATGAGTGAGGGAGAGGAATAAGGGCGAAGAAGAAGAAGCATAGGTTTGCATATTAAAGCGAAGAAATTTACTTAAGGGGAGTGTAGATCGATCTTGGTGGGCTAAATTTTGTACCATAGTCGTTTCGAGGACGAGATACAAAGAAGCAAAGGCCACTGGTTGCTATGCATAGACTCCCAATTGATGAACAAAACTACAGTTTGTGCTGACACCCGTACGGACATGTCAATCGAGAGCGTTGATATGAAGTTGCAAGGATATTTATTTTATGATGTACATAGTAAGATAGTGGAAGGAAAGCTCACTCAAAAAAGTGAAAGTAAGAAATAAACAAGCAAAGGAAAAAAAACAAACGCAAGAAATCATGAGGAAACTACTAGTTGCTTAGAAAGCAAGAGCATCACCAGAGTTCTCGATGCTCTCCTTGACAAACATTTCCCAGTACTGGTAGATGATGGTAGTGCACAACAAGATACCGGTACCGGAGCCAATGGCACCAATGAGATCGGCGAAGACAGAGACGGCACCCAAGACGGCACCGCCAAAGGCGGCAGCGGTGGGGATGACACGCTTCAACTCCTTGTACATGGAGGCATCACGATGACCGGCCATGACCATGTTCTGGTCCTTGAGCTGCTTGGCAACATCACGGGGGGAGGAGCCAGAGACCTCGATCCAAGTCTTAGACAAGAGGGCGCAGGCAGTCAACATGAAGGTGATGTAGACGACGGTGTGGATGGGGTCCAAGAGGGCCTCAGTGACGCTGTGGGGGGGCGACATGTAGTAGGCGAGTCCACCGGAGGCGATCATCTGGTTGGTGCCCTGGTAAGGAGTCCAGGTTCCAAGGATACGGACAAGGATGTTCTCGGGGAAGCGGCTGAAGACCATCTGGGAGACCATGAACATGTTGGAGGTCAAGGCAGACTGCAGCATGATGGGCATGTTGGAAGTGTAAAACAACTTGATAGGGTAGGTACCACGCTGGCCACGGAAACGGGAAGACTTGACAGGGAGCTCAACACGGAAACCCTGGAGGTAGATGACAATGCCAAAGACGAGAACGGTGGCCAACAGGTTCATGACGTTGGGGAGGTTGTCGCGGTAGAAAGCCTCCTTCAAGGCACGGGCCTTGTTGGAGCGGGTGAAGAGCAAGTGGAAGAGAGCGATCAAGGCACCCTCGAACTCGGGACCGTTGCCGACGTTGTAGGTGGTGGGGCTGAGGGCCTTCCAGAGAATGGTCTCGCAGACGTTGGTGGCGATGAAGAGAGAGATACCAGATCCCAAACCGTAACCCTTCTGCAAGAGCTCATCCAGGAGAACAACGATGACACCGGCAACAACCAACTGGAGGATCAAGAGCAAGCAAATACCAGCACCCAACTCAGAGGGACGACCGTACAATCCGTTCATAACCGAGACAGTAGCCTGACCGAAAGCAATCAAAACAGCAAACACTATGTCGTTTAAGGGGGATAACGAGGGAGAGTTAGAAAGTAGGCACGATTATAATAAGAGGGGATGGAGGAAAAAGAAGGGATCGATCAAGGAGAAACCAGAGCAAAAAAGCAATAGAACTCCTGTAGCGAGCAAAAACGAAGAGAAAACTTACACTTCTGAGCACCATTGAAGAGGGAACGATCCTCCTTGAGACTGTAGTCGACCTCGATCAAGTTGGCACCGGCCAACAACTGCATGAACATGCCGGAGGTAACAACGGGGGTAATACCGAGCTCCATCAAGGTTCCACGGTTGGAGGCGAGAATGGCACGCATCCAGTAAAGGGGATCAGAAGAATCCGAGGACATGATTCCGTACAAGGGGACCTGCGAGCAGACCAAGAAGATGAACAGAGTGACAGCAGTCCAGAGAACCTTTTGACGGAAGGGGATCTATTATGGTCCAAGGTGTCGAGGATAATAAGAGTGAAGCCGTTGAGTATACGCAGATCAAGTTTTGCGGGACACTTGTTTTCACACTCTCAGGAATGGGGTTGAATCATGTGTTTGAAAGCGGGTATTAGATCGATCGACAGCCAGAGGTTCACACGAGTTGACAGAGTGCCAGTCTGGAAGACATACCTTGCGCTCAGGAGCAGCAATCTCGGGCAGGACGGCCATGAAAGGCCTGATCAAGTGCAGGAAGCGGACTATCAGAAAACAAGGAGAAAGAAAGGTTGAAAAGGTTAGATGGGTTGGTCATCTCGTTTTTTTTTTCTTCAGATGAACGCGAAGGGCGGAGAAAAGTATTAGATGAGGAACACCCGTTTGGTCAAGGCTTGTTCATCCAGCGACTGGAGATGAGAGTGGTTCTCCTTCGTTCCTGTTATAAGTATCCTGCGTGCATATCAATGGGAGTTGTTCCTTGTCCTGGTTTGGCTGTCTTGCTCGAGTTGCGGTCCAGTTTGCAAAGTATTGGCCATGGCGAGACTCAGATGAGGACGAGCGGATCAGTGATCTGGCCACGGCGATAAGCTTTCTTGAGAGAGTCGATAGTAGTAGTGAGGTGTGAAGAGACTGTGGGGTGAGAGAGGATAACTTACAACCAGCCATGGTAGGCAAGACGGGGGAGGAGGAAGGAGGGAAGGGGGGTGGGAGTGGGGGTGAGAAGATGAGGATGATGAAGAAGAGAAGAAGAAAGAAACGCAGAGAAGGATAGCGAGTTATATTAGTATTGCGATACCGTGTGCGACAGACGCGGATTGTGTTAGATTCTCTTTTCTTTTTCCCTTGCCCCTCTCTTTGCTGTTGATTCTCGCGCTGGATTTGGAGACGCCTGAGTGGTCGACTGGGCGGGCTAGCTTCGGCAACCAATCAGAGCGAGCCACTGTTCGAACTCTCTGTTGGCTCTCGCATCGAGAGCATTCGACCTTTAAAGAACGAATGGAGCCAGGAGGTGTGAAAAATTTACGACGACGTCACCCAGCTGGAAATGAGCAGCCAATACCTAATATCGGATTCTATGAACGAAACGGTGAGGAACTGGGAAACAATGGAATCACACGCAGTTGACACGCTGCGCCACTGCAATTACTTGTTCATATCTTGAATTGTTCTGCTTCTTCAGAGATATTAATGGCTACATCAAATGCCAACGCCTTGTTGGCCTCGTCATATTGCGAGAGGACAATGGGCCGCAATCCGTGAGTGATTTTAAAGTGAGTGGTCCTGAAATCAACATCTATCACTCCTTGAAGTGGACAGACAAAGTCGTCTGCACGCAAATCGCGTTCATATCCCAAGTGCTGTCGGTTCAGAGTTTTATGCCAGCTTTCGACAAGATTGTTAGTATTTGTGTGCTGGTAGTTCTATTTGCATAGAAGGTAAAGCACCCATTTGGCCAATATCATTTGCACTATCCATTGCATTTCCAGATACGAAGTCAACTTGGTGGCAAAAATGGTGAAAGGTATTCCATTATGCTTGAAGCTCAACCTCTGATGAGGCATCGGGACGTGGATAGCACAGCCGAAATCTATGTACACGAATAAAGAATGGGGCATGAGAATGAGACAGGCCGCGACTATTGAAGGAAAAAAAAGTGCACATAATTCAATAGCAAGTATAGCGCATAAACAGAGAAAAATGGAATGGAGCCGAGCAGGGGCGCAACAAAAGGAATAAAATCTCAGCGTATGGAGAAGAAAAGGGACGTGGGAAGCCAAAGAAAAGAAAATGCAAAGCAAAAAAGGGCTGGGTAGAATGAGAGCTAGGCATGAATAAAAAACAGGGGCTTGCTTACCACAAAGGAAAAGTGTTACAAAAAGCCACAATTCCCGGGCAGGTAGTGAAGAGCACGGGCTGCATCAGATATATAAAGAAGCCGCACATTCAGGCTGGAAGACTCAATTCGTCACTCTTAATCTCAAGAAGCGTACCAATTCACCACTCCTCAGCTCAAAACTTACCATTGCCCTGACGATACCACCGATCCAATCTCCTCCATGTAAGTGACTATTTATTCGCAGCGATTGTGATAGCCGTTGAATATTCAACGTACTTACGCCTTTATTATGATGTATTACTTCTGCCTCTAGTAACGAAGCACACTTATCGTAGGCCTTTTGCCTGCTATCGGAGCAAGCGCCCAAATTGAAAACATTTATCAGCCCGAAGGATGGCTCATCACCTGGGGAACAAAGCGTTATCCATGCGGCGCGTTGAAACTGGTGGTGGCTGGTGATCTAGCCGCGGTCATGGCCGTTGCGCCTCGCATCCGCTTGCCGAAACCTTGTACGCCTGTGGTTCGCAGTACACATACCGATGCTCAGGTTTTGCTCCAGGGTTCCGTCAATGGCCCGCTTAATGGCCAAGCAATAATTCTTGTATTCCTTTACAGTATACAGTAATCAGAAACCTTTAATGCAGCCTGCTGCAGAATGATAATAAGCAACGGCAAAAATGTCTGAAGCTTTCGTGTTTCTGATTATACTACCAAAATAAACTTTGTCCAACACACGCTCCTTGAACTTGCATGAGTTTGCTAAGGAGAGACAGGATGCGAAGCTCAAGAGGGTCTCGGAGGAGGACATGCCGCTCAGACTGACAACAACCGGCGCTGGAGCGGATTATTATCTTCAAGAAATCCGTAATGTCATCAAGACTAAAGAGGGCGTCGACAAGCTATGGCCAGGCAAGGAAACGGAGAGGATCAAGATCCTGACGGTTGATGCTGGACAAGTTTGTGTTGTGGGGACTTTCGCCCATCTTCCTTAAGACCCAGGCGGATACAACAAGGAACAACAATCGGCTACGGTAGGATCAGGCGCGGTGGACACTATCCTGACAAATCAACTTCCAGCTTCGTCCTTAGTGCTCGCCCCCTCAACCCAACTTCCTTGGTACCAGCCCCCTCAATACCAGTCCCCTCAACGCCACCCTCCTCGACGTCAGAATACTACAATCTTGTCGTTAAGGCTACGACGGTACACCAGCCTCAGTGTCAGTTTAGAAGGTGGCTTGAGGCAGAGAAGATGCCGAGATCGAAAGGCGAGGAGGAGTCCGTTCTCGGGTATTGGGTATCGCCTTCCGCCCCTACGAGGAAAGTCTGCAAGCGTCGTCAACTACATCGATGAGTTGGAGCGCGTTGAGAGTCGACTGAAGACCTTTTATACTGGCGATGGGGATCGGTACCTTCGCTATAAATGGGACGTGGAGAGAGCTCGTTAAGAGGAATTCAAGGCTATAACCGAGGGCTTTTGAACGTAGTCGGAGGAAGGGTAGGTCGAGGGTTGATGATGGTCCCGATGCAGATCCGATCTTGATAGGAATGGGTTTGAGCAAGTTTTCTTGCAAGCTTGGTCTTTCTTCCCTGGACTCCTCGTTCTTAACCTACTTTGTTCAAACGGTGGGCTTCATTCAATTAGAAGCTGTTCATGCAATCCAACAAACAGAAAGCTAACATAGTTATTGATATACAATTTGTGTAGGCTCGCGCTATGGGCTATGTGTTGGTCGGGTTAAACGAGTATTATACGTCGAAAAAGTGCCCGAGGTGCGAGCAGTTTGTAGCCCGGGTGACTTTCCGGAGCCTCCATTGTTTCCCTTGAAAGCACTACTATCACGTGGACACAATGCGGCTGAAAGCATGTCAAGGATCGTTTTGGAGCATTTGCAAAACAAGGAGAGACCAACATATCTTCAACCCATCAACGCAGACGGCCCATACCCTGGAAGGCAGTATATGCCGCTTCTTCCAATACGACGGACATAACCAGCTCCACCTCTGGGACGGGCAGTGCCGGTTTCATGTGCCTGACCCTAAAGCAGCGCTCCGAGACTGTTGCCAGGAAGAAGGAAGAAGGAGGAAGGGGCAACTGCTCGGGACTAGGAGAAACCACACCCTAGGGGATATTGGGTTCGCGAACAATTTGCTTCGGTGACGTAATTTGAGCGCCCATTTTCCATTTGGTGGCGGCAGCTCCTCTTCTCTGCTCCTAGTTTTTTGACCCAAACCATTCACATCGCCTGTCATTACCCCAACGAATTCACAAAGAGCTTACACAACCATGGCGCTCCGTTCACGGCCACCGGCCAACAACCTCGACGAGATGCGAAAGGCCGTTGCTGAAAAGTTCCCAGCCATCACCAGTCTTCCTAACCCTGGAGCAAAAGCGCGCAATGGAAAAGAAAATAAACCGCCCAGAGGAACAACTGGCAGTATGGAATTCATCGCCATGGACCCACCGTTGACCTACAGCTTTGGTATCCGCTCCAAGCATACTGTTGCTCCTGCAACGACCGCCTCTTTTGACAAGACATCTGCACCACTGACTCGACCGGTACACAACGCTCGTTGGAGTTGACACTTTGTGTGGTTTGTTTGTTTATTTGTTTATTTGAATTAGTGGCGCGTAGAATCAAATCATTAATCTGAGCAAAATTTCGTGTGTATGTGAGTGTAGGTCTCCAACGTTGGGTCCAAGAATGCAAGAACTACAGGAACTACTCCCGAGTTGCCCAAGCCGACTCCAACGGCATGGGGTGGGTCTAGCCGTCCTACAATGCAGGAATCTTTAGTAACTTCCACAACAACCTACAACAACAACAACAACAACAGCAGTAACAGTTTTTTCAACACGCGAGCAACAACAATTACCAACAATAGTTTTGATGGAGGCAGCAGTGCCGATGGCACCAGTAACGATATATCCTTTAAGCCCTCGACTGTACCGTCGTTGAAGGCTCCCCGCGCCAACAACAACAACAACAACAACAACCCTGGGCCCTCATCGACTAGAAACAGATCACCTATCAGTCGGAACCCTCCTGCGCCTGTTGAGTCGACATTTGTTCTCGATGACGATGACTTTGCTGAGGACCTCGCAGCTCTGCAGGAGATTGAGGAAGCCGAGTCCAACTTGAAGGTATTGTTTGTACCTGCCTTCTCGTCTATGGTCATGAAGACGTTCTACAGCAAGAATATATTTATTAACGAATGTCATACCTTCTAGGCATATGTAAGCAACAGGCCTCGGACGAGCCCTCAACAGGAGCCATCCAGACAGGTAGAGGCTCGCACAAGTACCGCAGATGTGGACGATGACACCTCAGTCGAAGAACTTCAGGTCATGCTGCAAACAGCGATCGATGAGAAGAAGCGGCTCGCTAACGAGATCATGGACAGAGAGGAGATAGAAATGGACGTTGACGACCTGCGGAGAGAGTGGAAGGCCATGAATGAGCGTATCAATAGTCTCAAACCCAGACTGAGCGCTAAGGGCGCATCCACAAGACCCGCCAACCCAGTTTCATCGTCGCTCTTCACATCGATCTCTGCAGCTCCTCGCAACCCTCAAGTATACCCAGAGTCGACAAATCCCTACACCTCCAATCAAACCAGCGCCTACGGAACCAGCAACACCAACTATGGCATCGGCAACAACGACAACAACAGGAATCCATACCAGTCCTCGAGCACAACCTCATATCAACCTACAAGTGTTACTCCATACCAACCTACAAGTTCAACGTCGAGCAACAACCCTTGGAGCCGACCCAGCACCACCTCGTTTGCGTCCAGTAGTCAGCAATCTCAATCTTCAGCCCAAAAGGACACGACAGTATACCCATGGACTGGCAGAGTGAATGCAGCGCTGCGAGAAATCTTTCGGCTCAAGGAATTCCGACCGAACCAATTGGCAGCTATCAATGCGACTCTCGCTAAGAAGGACGTCTTTGTGTTGATGCCGACAGGCGGAGGCAAAAGTTTGTGCTATCAACTTCCTGCGACGGTTGGGAGCGGCACAGCGAACGACCAAACAGGAGTCACTGTCGTCATTTCGCCCTTGCTCAGTTTGATGCACGACCAGGCCATGCATCTTGTTAACAAGGGTGTCCCTACTGTGATTCTTCACGGTGATCTGGATGCGACGATGAGACGGTTCGTCTTTGACCAGCTTGAGGCCGAATCAATCATGACAAAGCTGGTGTACATGACACCAGAGATGTTATCCAAGAGCGCGCAGGCTCAGAGCGCTCTGCAGAAACTGCACAAGCGCAAAATGCTCGCTCGCTTTGTCATTGACGAGGCACATTGTCTGAGTCAGTGGGGACACGACTTTCGGCCGGACTATAAGCTGCTTAACCAGCTAAAGTTCAACTACCCAGGTGTACCGCTCATGGCATTGACGGCCACAGCCAACGCCAAGGTCCAGCAGGATATCTTGACCAACCTCGGTATGCACAACTGTCTCGTCCTAAAGCAGTCCTTCAACCGCCGGAATCTATACTACGAAGTCCGCCCCAAGACGCCCTTGGTCTACGCCGACATCCACGCTTTCATCACCGCATCGTTTCCGGGCGAGTGCGGGATCATCTACTGTACCAGCAAGCGATCCTGTGAGGAGATGGCGGACAAGTTGAGGAACGAGTTCAGATTGAGCGCGCAGCACTACCATGCAGGACTGGACAAGTCGGACCGAATTGCGATTCAAAAATCATGGCAGGAAGGTGGAACAAAGATCATTGTTGCGACGGTCGCCTTTGGGATGGGTATCGACAAGGCCAATGTCCGGTATGTCATTCACCACTCGCTCCCGCAATCGTTGGAGGGATACTATCAGGAAACAGGTCGAGCTGGACGCGATGGTCTGAACGCGCAGTGTATCCTGTTCTACACCTACAAAGACAGGAAGATTATCGAGTTCATGATCGACAAGGGCGACGGCAACCGCGAACAGAAGCAGCGGCAGAAGGATAACCTCCAGCAGATGCTCATGTACTGCGAGAACAAGACCGATTGTCGCCGTCAGCAAGTGCTGAGTTATTTCGACGAGGTCTTTTCGCCGGCTTCGTGCGCCAACACTTGCGACAATTGCAGACGAGGCCAAAAGTTTGATGTCAAGAATGTCTCGACAGAGGCCAAGGCGATGGTGGGATATGTCCGCAAGCTTGTCTATAACGAGCATCCGTCGACCAGGATGAACCTCATGAACTATCAGTCGTCTCATGTGATCAACCGGTACACCCTCAACTATTTTGTCGATCTGTTCCGAGGCGCCAAGTTGAAGAGGATCGTGAATGATGGGCATGATAGGATCGAGGGGTTCGGGATGGGCAAGAGCTGGAATCGGACGGATGCTGAGCGTCTGGGGCGGTTGCTGGTGTCCAAGAGAGTTCTTGAGGAGCGTTGTGAACTCCAGGGCCAAGGGTTCCATAACTATGTCTACGTCGGACGTGAGGCCTGCGGTGTTGTCAACGGCGCTACCAAGATCGAGATGCCCTTTGCCTCTGGTGTAAGTTTTCTTTTTTTGCTAGCGCATAAATTTGAGACGTCGTTTTTGGAGCCGTTTTACTGATTATGATTTTCTCACACCTTTGTTTGAATAGAACACAAAGGAGCCAGCAAAGGTGCCAGCAGCAACCAAGAAGCGAGCCAGGAAGGATGACTCCTCGACAACGTCGGCGCCACTCGCTGCAGCAATCAAGTCTCGAGCGAAAGCCAAGACGACAGCTGCTGCTGGAAAGAGCAAGAACAGTAAAAAGGATTCTCCGGACGAGTACGATTTCGATGACGATTTCATTGACGACAGTGTGATCGATGACCTGGACGATGGTGGATATGGGGCCAACTATGACAGTCTGGAGGATGACGTGAGTGCTTATTATGATGGCAATGCGAGAGGTGCTTCTGCGTTCATGGCGGAGATACAGCAGTATGCGACAGATCGGCAGTCTACTTCTTCAACCTTGAGCAGGACCCAGACCAAGGTGACGAAGACGACAACATCTCGTGCGGACAAGGGCAAGAGTGGGTCTACTCCGTCGTCCTCGACAATCCCAAAGTCTCGGTTCGGACCAGCTCCTACTGGTGGCAACTACAGGAACAACTTTGTGACAGGAGGCGGTGGCGGTGGTGGTGGAGCGAGTGATGATGAGAGCGAGCAGTTTTTTGATGCGCACGAGTATGATTACTTTGATTCTGACGAGAACGAGCCGCCCCAGGCCAAGCGCCGTCTGTGACAGTGTAACATTACTTTCGAGTCAATGCTAAATTAAAAGGTTCCACTCAGGTTTGCAGTACTTCATTGATGAGCATGTGTGAAAGAAGAATGTACATTTTTTTGTTGTTGATTTGGTTTCTATCTTGTCTAAAAAAAACGAGAACAATAAAGAAAGAAAGGAAAAGAGAAAGGAAAAGATGCCATCCAGCTTACGAGTTGGCGAGCTGTCGGATCTCGGCATCCTCGTATCCAAGCAAGTAAAGAACATACTTGAGCGACTTTTGATTAATCCTCGCCCTAGCCTTCTGCTGCACCCTTGGCTTTGCGTTAAACGCAATCCCCAGACCAGCCTTAGCCAACATCCACAAATCATTCGCGCCATCACCGACCGCAATAACCTGATCCAACGTAACCGATTCCGCCTGGGCAATAACCTCCAACAACTCTGCCTTCCTTTCACCCGAAACAATAGGTCCGACCGTCTCTCCAGTGAGATACAACCCATCGGGGGAGACCTTGAGCTGGTTTGCGAAAGCGTAGTCCAGTCCGAGGATGTTCTTGACATGTAGAGCCAGGGGCATGAAGCCTCCAGAGATGACGGCGAGTTTGAAGCCGATCTTCTTGAGGGCCTTGCATAGGTAGAGGGCGTCCTCTGTGAAGGTTAATTGTTCGCGGACGGTGTCGAGGACGGAGACGGGGGTGCCCTTGAGGAGGGCTACGCGGCGCTTGAGGGATTCTTTAAAATCGATTTCTCCGTTCATTGCCGCCTCCGTGATTTCCTATCAGATATGAATACAGAAAGGCAAATGAATTGTTAGACAAGAGTCCATGACAACAGATCACGAACCAAACTTAAGTGAAGTGTTGCTGACTTACGGAAACCTGCTCCATGACACCGGCGTGACGGGCAATCTCGTCAATGACTTCCTGCTGGATGAGTGTCGAATCCATATCAAAGACGACCAGACGCTTATGCTTGCGGAAGACATCATAAGGCTGCATGGCAACATCAGTTCCATGATCCGCACTGAGCTGGAAGAGAGACTCCCTAAACTTATCCATGTTCAAGCTAGCAGGGATCGACAGCTTGTAATCAGCACAGGCGAGCTGGCCCTCATTCAGACGAACCATCTTCTCGACTGAGATCTTGTTGACCAGCAAGAGGTGTGTCCAATCCGAGAGGAAAGCAGACGTAAGCCCATGTTGACAGAGTACCGTAGCTGTGTACTTGGACCGCCCCTCGTAGGGCGCATCCTCCAAAGATCCAGGGACGTAGTTTCCGAAATGAGGGTCCTTCTTGAGCGAGTCCAGAATATCAAACGTCAACGTCGCATCCCACCTCTTGGCAGCCGTCGCGAGGTCCTTGAAGATATCCATGTCGTCGTTCTTGATGGTGATCAGGATCGCAAAGGTGACATTGTGGTAGAGACGAGCGAACGAGAAATCCTCGACCTCACATTGGTACTTGGCCGCACATTCCAGAAGAGTTCCAATAATATCGGTTCCGTGGGGGCCGGACATGGAGATGAGAACTCGCTGGTGGGGTAAGAGAGCTGCTGGAGGAAACCAGGTCTTTTCTGTAGGGGTCAGGGCGGTAGGGCGCCACATCATGACGGGCGAGTCTGATTTGAAGTTGAGCGCCAGAGGAGAGAACGGCGATTCGACTATCTCGGTAGGAACAAAAGGGCCAAATGCAAGAGAAGCGGAGAATTATTTGTTAGTCCAGGTGCAGGGCGGAAGATTCATGACAAAAAAAAGGAAGAGTGCTCTCGCGTGTTTGGTGCAGGTCCAAAGTAAGAGTCATCACAAGCAAAAAAAGAGAGACGAAAGCTTGAGCGTGTCTTTCCCAATCTTGGACGCATGTCAAGGTCCCCGACACACCCAGCCTGTTTTTTTTTCTTCTGCTAACTCACTCCTTTTTTTTTTTCTTTTCTTGGACAGCCGATGAATCACGCAAACACCATGAAAGGGCAAAACAAGCAAAAGGCAAGGAAGACTTACATGATCGAGATAGAGCACTTTCGACTTGAGCAGAGCTGGTGTTGTTGGTCTTAATCATGACACCGACACCGCTCAGCTTCTCCATAAGCTCCTTCTTGAGCGTGCTCAGCTGCTCCGCCCTGGCAAACGGCAGCTTCCAGACACGACCCAGGTAGGCTTCACTGATGCTCAGACCGGCATGACGATCCATCTTCTTGATAATCTTGACAATGCCCGTGTAGTTCAAGAAGATGTACTTTTCAAGCTTGAGGACCGACTGCAATAGTGTCTCCAATGAAGCCGGTTCCGTGGAGGCTGTAGAAGGAGCGATACCGTTTACTGTATCTTGAGCCAATTTGCTGTCGTTGGTCGAGGAGGCAAGGCCCAATCCGACCTGAACGCCCTGGAAGGCTCCGTAAGCCTCATAGATCCTGCGGGTCTGGAGGGTAGTGAAGGTCGAGACGTCTCCGACTTGTTGATCGAGCAAGGCCAAGAACTCGGGGACCTTGATCTGGAGGACCGTGAGCCTAGAGGCAATCATGGCCGAGAAGGCATTGAGGTCCTCGTGGGCAGCAACTGTGGAGGCCGAGGAAGTACCTCCGATGATGGGCGAGGGCTGGAGGTGAGGGACCTGAGGGGTGTTGTAGGCATTTGAACCGAGGGTTGTATTATCGGCAGGGTGGGCTTGTTGGTGGGCGATACTTGGCTTAAGACAGGCGGGTGCGATATGAGTCTTGATATATGTCTTGAGGGCGTCGTAGTCGACAAAGACTTGTTGCCATTCCTCGGGGAGTTGCTGCTTCCTCTCCTTGAGGTAGTTTCCGTACTTCATTGTGAATGTGACAAGAAATAAACGGGAATGTTAATGAAGGAGGTATGACAGGATCTCTTTTTGTAGAATGGAGAGAGAGAGAGAGGGTGAAGTGAGGAGAAAGGGAAGAAGAATGAAGAGAGAGAGAAAAAAGAAGAGAAGAAGAAAGAAGGAAAGGGACCCAAGTTAAGAAGAAGCAAAGTAAACTCTCCGTTCTGGATTGTTTGCCAAAAGAGGTGCGGGGTAAAGAAGCAAGAATAAGGGTGTTGGGTCCTTATCAAAATAACCTATGGATACTATTACATGAGGCTTGCACGCAGATAACGCATTCAGAAAGCGATGTGTCACAGCATAAAAAAAAAGTCATGTATCTTCGGAGAGAAAGGCAAGAAAAGGAGGAAGACTCCACCCGCCTATGCTCCCATATGAATAAAAAGACGGTCTCTGCAGGCTCACTATGCCTTTTCTCCTTATCTAACTAGAGAACAAGAGTGCATCGCGTGTAGCTTTCCTCTCACGCACACTTGGATATCATGACTATCCAGATCCTGCCTACAAGCCCTGTGTTCAGTAAGAGGGGCCAGAGAGAGGATCTCGCATGTTGGGTTGATTGACGCCATTCGCAGTCACTCGTGGTGCTTGAAACAAAATAACGCGCGAACGGTCTTCCAGGTACAGAAAAGTAAGAGATGTACTCATTCCTTTCCTTCTTCCTTTTCATTCATTCCTCATTCTCCTCCCTTCTCCTCCCTTCTCCTCTCTTCTACCCTCCGCCACTTCATAATGGCCGTCGAACTCAAGCAGAAAGAAATTGTCCCATGGCACGACTTTGTCGCCGGAAGGTACAACGCACCCTCAATTCGGCCGTGAGCTCCCTCAGAAAGTTCCCATACTGCCTTTACTCAGCTTGAACTCATCCTGATCACTCACTCAATTGCTCTCTACTCCACTGTATTGTTGTCCACTTTAATAGTCTGGGAGGAATGGTATGTTAATCCTACACTACCACTGGAAGCAAAAGCATTGGATGCTATCGTGATACTTTTACACCCAACTCTTCGATTGAGAGTCAACTTGCGCAATTTCTCTTATCACCATCTCGCTGACCATTCCTCTTCGACCTATCACCAATGACTAGGCTCAAGTGACAGTTGGACAGCCCATGGATACCATCAAGACCCGTCTGCAGATTGAGGGACCCAACGGTCGGTTCGTTGGACCCATGGACTGCCTCCGCAAGACTATCAGGAACGAAGGCTTCCTCGGACTCTACAAGGGTACGACTCTCAGTCTTTACAGGATCACTTTACAGATGAGTAAATACGGTTAGATTTTTAATCACACACTTGTTTTTTTTTGTACTATAGGCATGGCTAGTCCATTGGTCGGAGTCGCTGCTGTGAATGCATTGTTGTTTGCTGCCTACTCCAACTTGAAGAAGATTCAGGAGCCCTACCCTGGTGGACCATTAACTCTCACCCAGATTGGAATTGCGGGAGCTGGAGCAGGTAATATTCATCGACAAGGCGAACGGGAGTGAAAGAGATGAACAAACAACAAGAGGAAAGAGGAGCAACGTTTGTACCGAAGATGATAGAGAGAAGAGACGACCGTTGAGCAAATGGATCGTTTTTTTGTAACGACTCTTCCAAAAAAATTATTTTTTTTTAGTGTCAATTGCGCCAATCTCGAAAAGATGATGACATGGCTGCCAAACAGACACTTTCTGTGTGATCTTGTATCTCCACTCATTCAAACTGACGTTTTTTATAATTCTTCCTCGTCTTCCATCTAACCATGACCTCTCTCTTCTTTTTATATGCCTTCCTGTTTTGGACGAATAGGTATTGTGAATGCGGCGCTTGCTTCGCCTGTCGAGTTACTCAAGATCAAGATGCAGGCACAATACGGCGCAGGATCCACAGTCCGCTTCTCGGGTCCCGTCGACTGTGCCCGTCAATTAATCAAGGAGCACGGTATCAGACATGGATTGATGCGTGGATACTGGATCACAGTCATCAGGGAGATCCCTGGTTATGCTGGATTCTATGCTGGATTCGAGGGCATGAAGAGATACTTGACCCCTGCCGGTGAAAACCCTGCCACCTACCCTCACGGTCTCCTCACCCTCATGGCCTCGGGTGCCTCTGGTGGAGTTTCCTACTGGTTCGCCTGCTATCCCTTGGACATGCTGAAGTCTATGGTAAGTTTTTTTGCGCCTCTCTCTTTCATAAGTCTTTTCAAATGCAATTAATTACGCGCTACTTGCTAACAACTGCCCGTTATGTCACTTCTCCTTCCTACAGATCCAAAACCAGAACAACCCACCTAAGGGACCATTCTACATTGTTGATGCAGCTAAGCAGGTGTACCGCGTGGGTGGCATCAAGCCCTTCTTCCGCGGCTTCTCGCCCACCATTATCCGCGCTGTTCCTGCCGCTGCAGCAACCTTTACGACCTACGAGCTAGTGATGCGGGCGTTATCAGAAGTGTAAACCCATTGCGCTTACAAACGAATACGCCTTCTCTTCCCCACTATACAATTATTTTACTATTATCCTTGGATGTACCATAGACACGACGCATGAATAAAATAAAGGACAAAGACACTACATGAATGGGACGAAGACGTTGAAGAGTGTTCCTGCACTACTGCCATGATCGCCTTTTAGCGTGCATTCTGTGAGCCAATCACAGTCAGATGCCACTAACGGACTTTTTTTCTCTCCTCTTTTTATTCCCCTTGGAGGTTCTCTATGTCTCTTTTTCTTTCCTTTCCTTTCATTCATTCACTCAACTCTCTAACTCTCATTCACGCTTCACATTCACCAACATGTCTTCAGCCTACGGTGCCATCGCACGTCCAGCCTCAGCCGGTAGTCTCGGCTCAGTCCTCCCTCGCCATGCAACCCTCCGCTCCCAGCCAACTGATCAGCAGAACAGTCATTCCACCAACCACCAGGCAACACTCTTTGCAATCTCCAAGGCACCCTCCTCAACCTCTACATTCTTCACCCTTTCCGCTGCAACCCACGCAACATTAGTCGACGCCATGAACAAGGTCTTCAACTCCGAAGTCGAGCGTGGCGACACTTACCCCCAGGAATTTCCCCTGGACGAGGAGCAGTTTGGGAACTACTTCTTGGGTGGTGATGCGTTTGTGTTGATCAAGGGAGAGTACAAGGATACTGAGGATGTGAAGGCGAGGGCGAGTGCGGAGGAGTGGGATAAGGATCTTTTGGGCTTCTTCTATGTTAAGCCTAACTTCCCTGTAAGTCTTTTTCGCCTTGTATCTTTGCATTGGGATATTGAGTGTGTATGCTTTGTTTGTTATTCTCCATGTCTTTGCTTGTGCATTCCGTGAGCAATTGATAAAGATGTCTTTATTGAGTGGTGGTGTGCGGTGTTGGGATGTTGGACCGTTGGAGCCGAATTTTGTTGATCAAAGGGCTGTCTTATTGATCCAATCACTAACGCCCCGCCTACTTGACTGGTCGTCATCCCGTATTGGCTACTTGACTTTCTCATAGGGCCGCTGTTCACACGTAAGTTCATTGAACCCAGACGAGCACTATTACCGTCCTACTTGCTCTTTTTCATGACTCACTCCTCTTCCTTCCACCTTCTAACTTGTTCCATCCCGCTTCTGCCGTTTTGTCGCGCAAACTATCGTTCCTCCCTGTAATAGATCTGCAATGGAGGTTTTATGGTGAACTCCCGCCACCGCGGCCTAGGACTGGGCGGGATCATGGGCAAAGCCTTCCTGGAGGTCGTCCCCCTGATCGGCTACAAGGCCTCCATGTTCAACCTCGTATTTGAGTCCAATGTTGCATCGGTCAAATTGTGGCGTCGTCTGGGGTTCAAGGAGATTGGACGAATTCCTAACGCCGGTCGGCTTCGTGGACAAGGGGAGTTGGGTGGTGATGCGAAGGAGGGATATGTGGACGCGATTCAGTTCTATTGGGATTTTGAGTCTATGCCCGTTCCTGTCGAGAATGATGCATAAGAGATGTTATGGCTGGGAGAAGTAGTTTTCGTAGGTTGGTAGATCGTATGTTAGCGCGATTTTTTTTTCATCAGGCCCAAAGGGACGGCTCTAGATCTATATCGTAATACACCTAAAACAACAGCATAAAACAAGAAGTGCATAGCGCACACATGAAAGCATGAAGATTACAAAGAAAAAAAAACAGGGCAGAGAAGTTACTTTCAAAAAAAGTTGTAGTTGTTTATTAGAGCTGTACAGAGTAGATTTTATTTTTACATGGGATGGGGTCGGGGAAAGAAAAGGTTGCATGATTCTGACGAAGATGGAGGGAGGGAGGAATGACGCTGTATGTGATGTCGCGGTACGACTCAAAAAAAGGGGAGGAAGGAAGGAAGAAAGCGTGAGAGCTAAAGGAGAAAAGTGGTCCCTGGATTATGCTTATGCGAGAATCTTCTTGAGTCCTTCCTTCTGGGCAGGGGTAAGCTGAGTAGGGAACTTGACGACATAACGAACAAGAAGGTCACCCTTCTGGCCAGGTTTCTTGGAGATGGGCATTCCCTCGCCAGGGAACCGTTCTTCCTGACCGGGTTGGATGACTCTAGAGCTGCTCGCAGAGACGGGCAATGTCTTGCCGTCGAGGGTCTTGACTGATTTGGAGAAGCCCGACAATGCCTCGAGGAGCGTCAACTCCAGATCGACAATCAGATCGTCTCCGCGCCGTGTGAACGTATCATGGGGCTTCTCCTCCAGGACGAACTCGATATCTTGAAGTGCGCCGTTGGCGAGCTCGTCTCCTTCACCAGGGAACCGGATCTTGGTACCAGCCTTCCAGCCCGGCTTGACATCGATGGTGAGGATCTTATCGCTCGTCCGACCAGAGCCGTCGCGAACCTTGCGGATGACCTTGAGACGCTTGGTCACGCCCTTGGAGAGCTCCTCTAGCGTGACGCCCAAAGCGCGGACAAGTGCTGGTGGTTTCTCAGCTGATGATGATGGTGGTGGTGGTCCGCCTGGCTGCTGTTGCTGCTGTGAAGAAGTATGTGTCGTGCGAGTGCGTGTGCCAGGCATGCCGCCCATACCGCCCATACCTCCAGGCATACCTCCCATACCACCTCCCATACCTCCCATACCACCCCCCATACCTCCCATACCACCCCCCATACCTCCCATATCATCACCGAACGGACTGTTGCCTCCAAAGGAAGCAAAGAACGACTTGAAGATATCATCCGCATTCGAAGGACGGAACCCACCACCGCCCATACCGCCCATACCGCCCATACCAGGTCCACCTCCAGTGCTCGAAAACGAGAAGGTCGTTCCACCACCACCACCAGGGAATCCCTTAAACCCGCCAGGGAATCCTCCGGGACCAGCACCAGCACCTGGTGGTGGGCCAGCCCCTCCACCGCCCTTGAGTCCTTCTTCGCCATACTGATCAAACACAGCCCGCTTGTTCTTGTCAGAGAGAACCTCGTAGGCTTCAGAGATGTCGTGGAACATTTTTTCAGCTTCAGGGGCCGAGTTCTTGTCAGGGTGGTATTTGAGGGCGAGCTTGCGGTAAGCTTTCTTGATCTGGTCGTCGTCGGCATCCTTGGAGACGCCGAGGATATTGTAGTAGTCTTTTCCCATGGCTGGTTTGTTATGTATGTGTTTTGTGGGCGTGGTTGTGGGAAAGGATTAGGTATGAGTAAGAGTGGGTGGGAAATGGAGAAGTGCTTATGTGCTTTTTGTCAAAAGTGGGTGTGTGCGTGTGCGTGTGAAGGAGTGGGTGCAAACAAGAAGAGCGTGAGAGAGGGGAGTGTGAGAAGGGAAGTGTGAATGAGAAAGAAAAAAAACGAGAAAGAGAAGGAAGAGGCTCTTTTATGGTTGATGTTGTCTGTTCATTCCTTGTTGATGAAGTCATCCCCTCCAAAAGTCCTCGCTGTTCATGGTGCATGCTCGTGGCTTCTCGCGGCTTCTCGCAAGTTCGAGTCTGTCTCTCACAGTGTATGTGTCACGTGAATACAAACTCCGATTGACAAGGGATCAAGGGACGCACTGCAACTCAAAAAGAAAAGAAAAGAAAAGATACAAGAAAGTCTTGACGATCGGTGCTTTGCTGGAAACTGAGTTCTTCGAACGCGTCTGGTTGAGCTTCTTTGTTTTTCTTTCGTGTTTGAATAATAGAACGTATTAGAAAACCACTGTGTATTTTGACGTACTTTCTTAATGGATCCATTTGTGCCTCACACCCATCCACCTGCCAACCATTCAGAGAGAGACGTCATCATTGCCATTGTTTTTGGGACTTATTTGTTCTCGCCTTGGCGTCAGCATAACGAAGAGGCGTCAAGGATGGCACTGGTGAGATATGAACATCATTAGCACGGATATTTTTTTCCGCAGCTTGCAATCGGCTATCATTGCCTTGGATCAACATATCACACAAACTGATCCAGTATTCGCCTGACTGATTCATTGGCAATAGAGCATAGGAAATGAAGCCGAGCTGTCGGGATATAAACATCTGAGGCGACGATCAATCGGGATTCAGGAACCATCGCCTTTTTTTCACTCGCAACCAACCAGTCGGTTACCATTAACACATCAGCTTGGGACGTTTTTTTTATCTACAACTCAAGATACTACCTCTCACCGACACCACACACAGGACCCCCTTTCTATTTTTTCAGCTCTGTCTCAGGAATGACGCGACAACTACTCGAGCAATTCGTGAAATATTATCCGCGCCGTCCACCATTTTTTTGTATCAACACTATTGGCTCTACGCTTGGCCGTAATTTGTATCGACAACGAACACTAAAGGGTTAACAACCCTCAACTTCTTGTACGAGCACCATTTTTTCTACTTTTCTCTGAATTACCTCTTGGCCAGCGTCACTCGCCCTTATTGACCATCAACATCGTTGGTCATATCCTACAGCTACTTAATTTTGTTCTACAGACCCACGTTTCCCTTTCTCATCATTGGTATGGACCTTGCGGTGTCGAATCGACAAATAACGCCCACGATCGCTTCAGATGTCCCCCGAGCCAACTGATCAAAGTCTCAGAGCAGAAGAATACACACGGCCCCTAAGCCCAACATTCTCCAGGAAACCTATTTCTCACGCGACGACCTCTACGCGGCCACCAAAGTCACTCTGCTCCTCCAAGTCAAGGAGGGGAAGTACTCAGAGTGCACGCAGCCCCCCTTAGTCAGCATGCCATGATTCGGCGCCCCCAAACCCGACGGGGTGGTCCAACCGATCCGCGACTGCCGCTACATCAACAAGTGTTGATTTTTTTGTAGTGATGCATGTTGACTTACACCTTCGATTCGACTTTTCTTTCCGTGCGTGTTTTTTTGTTCTGTTCTACTGACCGCAAGAATGAATGCGGTTGAGTCGACTTGTTTTTTTTGGGCTTGATTTTGTTTCCGTTGTGTGACAGGTACGCTGACACATTCCCTAATTTCCCTTCTTTTATTGACGTTTTGTCCCTTTCATATCTGCAGTATGATCGTTCACAGAATTCTTCAAGATGTACCGCCTGGAAGTCTAACACCCGTTCTCCTATCCAATGGTGGGTGGTCGTGGCGTACGTTTAGTTCGCCGTGAAGGGTCATGAACACAAGAATCGTATCACTTCACAACTCATCTCCATTTTCATTAATTTTGCACGACAACTCTCAGGAGAAAACTTGTTTGAACGACTTGAATTCATGACAAAAGTAGTCTTTCTTGTGATCATAGAAAAAAGTGATAATACTAAACAAAGAATGATTGAACGCTTCTACAAAACAGTTCTACTAGATGAATTGGCCCGTTGATGACATTACCCCGTCATGGCGGCACAGCGCTGGATTTCTGACTTTAACGGCCGCGTCAAGAAGGGTGCCGCTAATGAGGCGAAACTAACTGGACTCGGGAACAAAGTCCATTGGATGCGAAAGATATGTTGAACGCGCCGGCACGTGCGATGGACAGGATAAGTGGTGAATCGAAATGACCCGATGGAACTGACCTGACATCTTTTTCTTCTATTATTTACACGGTTCTGGCTGGTGTTAAGGACACTCACCTAGTGCCCATTCTTTATCTTTACCTCTATTATTTTTCATTCCTCGATTAGATCAATGGGGCGACAGTGTTCACGTCGACCGGCCCGGCCGCGCAGGAGATCGGCGCCTGTCAATGCCTTTGAAGACAAAAAGAAAATGAACGCTGGACCTGGAGGACCAAGACGTAAGAAAAACATGTGGTTAGCGATTGCTTCCTCCCATGTTCATTTTTTTTGCATGTTTTCTTTTGGGCGACCTGCATTTAGATTATGTTTTTCAGGCTCTCAGTTATTTATCGCCTCGCCCTCTCCTCCCTCCGCTTTATGTCACTAGAAAATAGAAGGTCTGAGATCACCCTCGTTGATCCTTTCCAGTTCAAGCAGCGTTCTGGTTCAGAATCATTCAAAGAATGTATCAGTAGGCATACATTCACAGAACTCATTTACTTTTTTTTTCTACTGTAGGTCGTTGAACGCTAGCATATTATTTTTTGCTAACCTCCCTTTCACTCTCTTTTGCGCATATCTTAATCGTATGCGATATATGTGTTGCAGTCGCGTGAAGACATTGATGAGGACATATGGTCTTCCAAGGACTGGCTTCTTATTAGCCGTATGCCAGGTCCAGACGAATATGCGAAGTACATCGGTAAATGTGTATTCACAAACACAATTCTCCTTTTTTCAGTGCTTTTTTGTGGCGAAGGAGGTTTGGGAGTGTTCTACCTTTGCGATCATCTCGCTCACTTCTTTCTTCTCTTATATTCTACCTGGAATCTGTGGCTCTAGAAGTGATTAGGAGTCAGAGTTAGTATCGAGGATGGGAGACCTTGCCGTGGTTCGAGCCGCCCTATCAGGTTGTGATGAGTATTCCAAGTAGATCGGTAAGAACATGCTCTCAACCCACGTTTCTCTTCAATCCTTGCACCACTGTCGCGAAAAACGAACCTTTAATCACCCAAATTTCTTTGTGCCTTATTTTTTATCCAATTGTAGTCTATTTCGCACGATGGCAGGGAAATGTTATCCATAGAACTCGCCTCTTACACCCGCCTGTCGTGTCTCAAAGAGTGGATCGCGTGAGATAGTGTAAGGCCTTTGTCACGGACGCGTCTTTTCCCCTTCCTTTTTTTCTCTCCAAGCTAACCTCTCTCAAGCTTTTTTCCCTTACTTTTTTTCTTTCGTCTATGGGTTTGTTTTGCAGACATCCCAGGAGAAGTACCGCGGGCGTTCATCGCGTTCACAAACTATTAGCCCCCTGGACCTGTTCTACGATTTGGACACTACGGAAGCCTTAAATGGCAATGACTCATCCTTGGATTACTTTTTTGTTGTGATCATTACGAATGCTGAACTCGTTTTTTCCTCATCCACCTCACTGTATACTCTCATAATTTTGTAGTATCCGTTAGGATGCGGCGAACGTTTATCCTCCCCCCTTCCTCCATCACAAAGCCACCGTGGCTTCCATGTTTCTTCTTTTTCTGTCTTTCTGAGATGGGTTATCAGTACACATGGGTTCTCACCAATTCCGTCCAATGGTACAACTACAGATGATCGCTGTCTCTTTTTCGAATTTTTTTATCGTTTTGTATCAGCTGTTCTGATCGACAACGGGCAAGGACAACATGGAATTCAACTAGCCCCCTTCAACAATGCTTTTTTACAACTGGGTCCACTTCGGTGGTCTAATTTGTTCCTCTTTTTCCCTCTTCCTTTCTTTTATTGTTACGTTTCTTACTAAGAATTCTCCACTGTCCGGTTGCATTAACCTTCCATTCCGGATACGACTTGACAGTAGTGTTGATTATGAGAAGCGGGGTTTACATTTTCGCCAGCTTCCTTAGCCCCCTACTCCTCGTGTTTTATTTTTCCTATTTGTTCTTCATCCTAATCGGCAGCCTGGGGTATATCATCCATGCTTCGATCTTGAACGATAAAACTGCGTGCAAGTCTTTTTTTTTTTTTTTTTGTTCTGGGACACAATGAGTTATCCATTCGAAGCCAAGTCCTGGTGCCGTATAGCAGAATCGGGGTCGTCGTACTATATCCTCCTAAGAAACATTTTTTTTTCTTGCTTGAATGGTCTCTGATGCAGCTGCAACTTGACGGTTGGTGATCCCAGAAAGCAGTCAACCCTCACACAGATGGTACCTGAATCCACTCTCTATTATCACCTCCGATCCCGCCTGATCGGGCGACAATTGATCCGTTGAATCTGCCTGAAACGTGTGAGGTGATAAGGTTTTATATGAGTCTTGCTTTCTGGTCAATTTTGCGAGGGGTCCTCTAGTTCAGTTCCCGGTTAGTTGTGGTTGGTGGTTGAGATGACGGGTTTGGTTGTCTGATTCATCCGAGGAATGTACACAGAGACAACTCATCCTCTTCGCACTCTCGGCAACTGAATACCCAGCAGCGCTAGTGAAAGAAAAAATCCCTGCCAACAAGGAACAAAAAAAAAGTGAAAGTGAAGTTATTGAAGGGTTGAAGAACACGTTGACAACAAGGGAAAGAGGGCGAAATACCGATGATCTTTCTCTTTCATCTTTCATTTGCACTTCGATACTGTTGTTTTGTACTGCGTCCTT